AATAAGTATAATGTAAATTTAATATGGACTTTAATGTTTGATACTAACATGTTTTATATTTGTTATCTTGTTCACTCTTTAATACTTTGCTCGTTAAATAACTAATCTTGATTTATGTTGTATAACACTTGGTACAATAAATACTTGACACTTTTATAGCTCAAGTGCCGGTTATACCACTGTTCAAATAAACACTTCTTTTAAAGGACTTGGGTCTGGAATCATCAGTATTGTGAAGGGGAACCCTGGCAAATTTGGCTACCAAGAGTATATGGCACTTCCTCTGCACTATATGTGTGCCTGTTAATTGTTTGCATGCTGAAGTGTGTCTCAACTGGTAGTGAGCCATGCACTAGACCGGGCTTGCCCTAGCAGCGTGAGAAGGAAGGGAGGTGTTGGAGGGAGGAGGGCAAGGCGAAGGAGCGTGGACTACGTAAGGGAAATATTGAATCTGAAGATGCACTATCCAATGAGCACATAAATGGAGTTGCTCCCCAAATGGAGGAGATCAAGTTACTTATGTTTTCAACTCCCGAAACTTGATCTCTTTGAGCAGGACTGGGATAGAAAATTTTGCTAGGTTAGAGATCAGAAATGAACGTTGGTTCGTTGTGTTTTATGCACCTTGGCGTCGCTTTTTCCAGGTAAAAGTTTGTTTCATAAATAACCTTCACCTAATTGCAAGTCACTGATCAATATTAAGACAACGCATGACAAAATTCAATTTCTTTTCGCTTTTCCAATTTTTGAACTCCATAGGCCATGGAAGATTCATATGTAGCGTTGGCAGCTAAGCCAGTGAATGCTAAGGTCAAGGCTGGGAATTTTAGGGTAGATGGTGAGCAAAAGGCATTTGCCAAGCAGAAAATTCAGCTTTGGAGCATTATCACTGCACAATTTTCCCTGCCTCCAAGCCTGTAAAATATTCCTCGGAGAAGAGGGATATTGATTCACTGCTGGCTTTTGTCGATTCGCTTCAATCCCTAAGAGCATGCTTAGACCCTTACTTATCCACTTGCAAAGAACTAGAGTCGAGTGCATAGAGCAAAAACAGGGAGCAGGTGAGTGTCAGTGATCTGCTTACTGCTTTCATGTTGATATTCTTCACAAAGATTCAGTGTTCATGCGTTTGTGGTGAGAGTTGAGAGTTCCCCTTTGAGACTTCAGATTTCCTCATATTCAACCGTGAGTTGCAGTCAGTCCTATCCATACACCAAGTTTTCTTGGCATAAAATGAACTTCCCTGTTAGACATTGGTGAGCCAAAGCCAAGATGGAGTGTGGTAGCTGAAAATATTTAACATTGCCGCTACTTTTGCCAAAATGTATCAATGAATTTAACGTTTCTGTATTTTTATTTAGCTTCGAATTCACAATTATAAGATAAGAGCCCCCATTCTAGTTTAAACTTCTGGTGTTATCATTTACTCCCAATCATAATCTTAAAATTGCTGGATTTTATTTCTGCTCTGTTTTTCGACTCTTTCGTGGCCCGTCCACTATGGCTTTGAGCGGTTGCTTGCTTCTATTAATTTCTTCAAGGAAGGCAAAGAGGCATAAGGCTGAAACCAAGTTCGTTTCCAATTCAATCTCGCATCGTAGGCTGTGGATTTGGGTGGACTGGACATTCATGAATGCTAAATCCTCACAGGTCATAACTTCAAGGTACTAGCATATTTTCATGGCTGTGCCACAAAGAAAACCTTGATTGCTTGACAGAGGCATCCAAGCTTATAAAACAGGTCGTGTCCATTCGAACTAAGCTTTTTCTTCTTCTTTTCTCATTGATCCATCTTGTCATTAAATTGAAGTAATAAACTAAAACAAAAGCAGGTTCCACTGTTCATTACGGTAACGTATGACTCAATTCTACCATGGACGTCATTGTTTGAGGAACAAAGTGTATTTTTTTTCTGCTATATTTTGGTCCTTGAATTTTTAGAAGTTTTCATTATGTGGTCCATGTGGTTTTAGATGTTTACATATCAGTTTTAAACATTATTTTTCTAACGTTTTGGTTTTTGTGAAACAAGATATGAGTGAGAGCCGATGAGAACTGAAAGAGAGAGAGTTTTGAACTGAAAAAAAAAAAAATCAATCTTAACGTGAACGGGTTCGTGTTAGAGAAGAAAATTTATGGAGGAGATTTTTTTTTAAAAAAAAAGTTTTTCTTAGTTAATTTTATTTTTTTTCTATTTTTTATTATGATGCTTCTCTAATTTTTTTTTTCTATTTGAAGTGAATTTTTTTTTTCTATTTAGTATTATTATAATTTTCTATTTCTTCTTCATAGTTGAATAGTCTTTAAGCAAGTGGTGAATAGTCTTTAAACAAGTGGAGAGCAAGTAGAGAAAGAATAAAAAATAAATATTTTAAGTGTCTTCTCACAATTATATTAATCTTAGTCTTTAAGTGTTTAACATATGTCAAATTTTTTTTATCATTTTGTTTTTGCCAGTGTGAATTGGTATCAAATCTCAATATTTCTTTAAAAATATGTTCTTTTTATACCTTTTATTTTAAAAGTATAGAAATTTGTTGTAAGATTATTTTAAATATTCTGAATATCTTCTCATAGTTATATTATTTTTTATCTTTAAATACTTTGACATAAGACAAACTCATTTATCATTTTCTTCCATGTACACTAGAGTTTAATAAAGTTGCTTTTGGCCTTTAACCATACCGAAAAAAATATATATTGAAATCCAATTTTTTTTTTTTATTTAAATGGTATTTTGAAATTGAAAATAAAGTTATTGAGTAGGTGACATCTTGTTAAAAATTAAATTGTGGAATCCAAAAACTAAAACCTTGGTTTTTAATCACCGGAACTGACCGGAATTTCTTCCACGACACCAAACGGACGATGATATCACAGGATCTATTTACCGAAAGAAAACCTTGATTAGGGAGAGACGGTGAGAATGGGAGGTGAACAAGTGTATTTCAGACTCATAATTAAGCAACTGGCATTCCCTACCACTTTTACATCTCAAGAAACTTGCGTGCTGAAAGCCTATCTTAACACGAAATAAAGAGGGGAAATGGAGAAATTGAGAAATTGGTAGATGACTTGTTCTGAGATTTTACATCAATGCCAACCGATTTAAACCCCCACTAATACTCTCACTCTATGTTGAAATTGTGGGTCCGCAAAGACCCAACGAAGCCACACGTAGTTGATAACATGAAGAACAGATTATGGAGCTCGAGCTGAAATATCTCTCTCTGTTTTTTTAGCTAATCATCCCAATTAAAGAGATCAATTCATGAAGAGAGGATAGGCATAAGCACGGGAAAACACGACATTAAAGATGGAAACTAAATCCTAATCTTAATTACGACTGCATCTATCCCTACTCTTCAGGCCTTTTTCTGCTTGATCGGTGCTGCCTTGAAAAGAAATTTAGAAACGAAGGCAGCTAAAATTGCCCCTATAAAGGGGCAAATCCAATAGACATAGAAGAAATCCCAGGTGGTATGCCTATTGCCCAAATAAGCCCATCCATAAGCGTTGGCAGGATTCATTGAAGGGCCGGTATACTTACCTCCAGCCATGACCAATCCCACGGTAGCCACCGCTAGCAACCACACCTTCAACACAACATTTTTAGGGCCCTTGAGCAAAACAAAATGTAAAGTAAGACAGATCAGAAAAGTCAACACCCCCTCAGCAATCGCCCCTGTATGCAAGTCCACCCTCAAAGAAGGACCGCCTTTGAGCACATGCCTGTAATGTTTTGGCATCACTCCCCTAATTGCCATGGCACCACCAACCCCACCAGCTGCCTGAACAGGAAAACGCAAAGCCATGGCCATGAGAGATGTATCAGGCTTTAGGCCAGCTATGTAGAGTGTTATCGTCGTGGCAGGGTTGAAACTGGCACCGCCGAAGGCAGCTCCTATCAAGCTGAAAGTTAGCATAAAAAGAGCGGCTACATTAATGGTTATGAAAAGACATGCTATTGACATGGCCTCAACACCCACATATGTTGCTATGATGGAGGAGAAAACACCCAGCAAAGGAACGCTGAATACCCACATGGCTGTCAAAATCCCATCTACTATGGCTCCCTTGATTGCTCCCATTTCTCGTTCGTTTTCTCCTTGGTTTTTCTCTCTACCTAACCCGTTGCACCAGAAGCAACAACTGGAGGCGCTCTCCCTCTCTCTCTCTCTCTCTCTGCCTTGGTCTTACTCCTATATGGTCTAAATTATGAGACAAAAGAAAGGAAAGGCAAGGAAGGAAAAAGAAAGGGCAATAATTGACTCCGGATTCGAGATGCTATTGCTACCATTTTTAAAAAGGTTACTTTATTTCACAAAACCTCAAATTAGCTACTAATATATTTCAAACCCTTGGATACTAAACAATTTCACCCCTACGTTATGCTAAAACAAGCCTCAACCTATTTTACATGATAATTTTAACATCAAATCATAATAATTTTTTATTTTTCTCTCAACTTCGTGGGTTATAATGAGATTTCTCCTTTGTTTTTATGGGCGACGCCTTGTGGTCATTTGGCCACCAATGTGGCAGGGTGATGGTTGACGCATCAATTCCAAAAAGTTGCTATTTTATTTTATTTTGGGTTAGTGCCGTCTCCTCTAACCTTAATACTAATTTGTTATACAAACAAAAGTTAAAACTCCTTTACCCGTATCCAAGAAAGAAGAGTCATGGTGGTGCCCTTCCATCTAGAAACTTTTAAACCTGGTGGTTCGGCCGGGAGTAAACAGTTTTTTTTCCTTTTTTAAAAAAAGTGGAAAGGGAAAAAAAATTTAGAATTCTCTATGATAAATCTACAAACCACTAAATACTTAATTAATAATTGTTCAACTTTATTTTTTTTAGAAAATACCTTAATAAATAAACTTATACTTTAAACAATTTTTAAAAGCCTAATCATAACTTATATTTACAAACATACAACCCTGATTCAAAAAATCATCAAAATTTCAATTGAAAGAGTGATAACAATAATACATAAACTTCACAGCCATCATTTCAAGTACACCATAATTTTTAAAATTATCATAGATATGCACCTTTTTATATTCCACATCTTAAAAAAAATCTTGAGGAAATATTGCATGCATTCATTGAAAAACAAGATAAAATCAATACTCAACTTGCTCAGAACATGATAAATTTTAAAGATACTCTTATAAAAAAAATTCACATCTACTATCAATTTTCAAGAGAAAAGTAAGCTTCCATCTCAGTTACAGCAAAATCTCAATGTGCAATACAATGCAAATATAAGTAGTTTTGGAAGCTAATACATGGATCAAGTTAAATTAGTCATCACTCTTTATAGTGGTAAGGTTGTTGAAAAACCTATTCTTGAACCTTGTGAGAAAAATAACAAGTCAATTTCTAAGGGTAGGAAAGGGGTTAAATTTGAACATTGCAAAGAAAAGACTAATTTCCTGCCAGCAGTTCCATTTTCTAATGTCATGACCAAACAAAAAAAAGTCAATCACAACTCTGAAATCTTTGAAACTTTCAAACAACTAAAAATCAATATATCTTTGCTAGATGCTATTAAACAGGTACCTTCCTATGCTAAATTTTTAAAAAATTTATGCATTGTGAAGAGAAAACTGAATGTGAAGAAGAAAGCCTTTTTAGCCGAATAAGTAAGTGTCATTCTTTAGAACAATAATATTTTGAAATATAAAAACCCTAGTTGTCCAACAATTTCTTCCTTTATTGGAGAACATAAAATTAAAAAGGCTTTACTTGATCTTGGAGATAATATGAATTTATTTTCATATTTAGTTTTTCAATGTCTCATTCTAGGTAAGTTAAAACCATTTTTTATAACTCTCTTACTTGCTAATAGATCTATAAAAGTGCCTAAAAGAATAGTTGAAGATGTGTTAGTACAAGTCGATAAATTCATTTATCATGTAGATTTTATTGTCATAGATACACAACTTGTTGAAGCATGTAATTCATTTCCTGTTATTTTATGATGTTCATTTCTTGCAACTTTTAATGTATTGATTAATTGCAGGAATGGACTAATAAAACTATTATTTGGAAACATGACATTGGAGATTAATATTTTCAAAATTTATAAGCAACCTGGAAATGATAATGATTAACAAGAAGTAGATTTTATCAAAGAATTAGTATATGATCAACTTGAATCTACTTTGAGTAAAATTAAGTTAGATGAATCTAAAAATTTACAAATAATTTATTCTTAGGAAGAAATCACGGATGAAAAAGGTACCGAAAATATTGATGCGGATCTTTTTTCAAGAGTGACAATAGATTTGAAATCTGACATCCCACCAATCGATGATTACTTTCCTGCGAATCCTTACTTTCTCTTAGTTCAATGCCTTAGTTTGCTAAAAATATCAATTTTCTTACTTTAGGATTTTTATTGGCTCATTAGAGTACCGAAGACAAAAGAAAGTTTTTGAGTGATGTGCAAAACTTTTATTGGGATGATCCTTACTTATTCAAATATTATTTTAATCAAATATTTCAAAGATGCATTCCCGACAATGAGGTATGTAGTGTCATTAAACTTTGTCATTTTGAGGCATATAAGAGTCATTTTTTATTAAAAAAGATGATTGTAAAAATCTTACAATATATATTTTATTGTCCCACTATGTTCAAAGACACACATATGTTCTGCAAAGCTTGTAAAAATTATCAAAAGTCAACATTTATTTTAAAATATAAAGAATCATTAGATCATCTTCTTTTGACTTTTGAGACGTAACCTGATGGAGATGTGCATTGTGCATTTCATGACTTATGACCTTATTTTCATTAAAAAAATATGCTCAACATAGTCTTAGAAATCTAGCTAAAAAAGACCTTGTTTGCTAATTTTTAAAAAAACTAGATGGAAAACCTATTCCTGACCTATAAAAGGCGTTTAATCCGTTCTTTGATGTAAAATCAAGGAAAAGTGTGAGCCACAATCACAACTACTTATACATACACATGTATTTGTTTTAAATAAAATAAAATAAAGAGAGAGAGTAAGACTCCAGATGGCCTACATATAGGTAGTATGATTGCATTTTTAATTTCTCATCAATAAAATCTTCTATTTCTTTTATTTATTTCTACTCAACCCATACATTCAATAGATATAGAAGTCTGAAGAAATGACAGGTTTCTCAATTCTTCACATAAGAAACATTTATATTTTCAATGGATCCAGTCCTGGGAAGGAAATAGAGTTTTAGAATCAGCAAATCATCTTGGTTAGGTACTAGCTGAAAGAAATATTTATTTAGTGTATTAGGGGAGGCAGCCTTGGGTTAATGAGGGGAGTGTCAATAGATGAATTTCCAAGAGGTAGTCAAGTTTTTTGGATTTTCCCTAAAGTTTTAGTAAAAGAGGACATCATTAAAAAAATAATTGGAGATGAACTACAAGTCTCCATAATTTTTAATCGAATGAATGCAATGTTTAAACACGCTAATGTCTTCATTGCCTTACTAGGTAGTCTAGGCATATTGGAAGAAATCTTTCATATTTCCTCTTGAGTCCAACTACATATTCACCATAAACTCATAGGACTGTTAAATGTTAATAGTTTTTATAATAATTTATAGCCTTTTCTTGATCATGCTACGGAACAAGAATTTTTAACGTCTTCGGCACGATAAATTATAATCTCCACTGCTACTGCTGAATAATTGATTAACCAACTAAAATCTTTAATCCCTATATTTGATCTCTCTATGAGTCGTATAAATTAGTCAAATAAGAAAAGCCATAAAAAACTTAGGTTGGATTTGAGCCTTTATTTGTGAATCCTTGTATCTTTTGGTTTTATTAATATCATATTATTTTGTTTTGTTATTTTTTATATTTGTTTAAGTGTGTTTCTGGTTTGTTAGTGTTTGATGTTTCAGGTAATGTCTTCTATACTCTATCTTTTTACCTTGGGACATTGAGAACAATGTCTCGTTTTGGTTGGGGGGGAAAGGGTAGTAATTGATATAAAAAATAACTAACTGTGCTTTTATTTAATAAACCATTTGACTAAACTGTTATTAGGATGACAAAGTAAGGAGGAATTTTATTGACTCTTGAAACTCATTGATAAATATTTTTTAATGATTATTTGCAATATTCATAACAAGGTCTATCACACACTTCTCATGAAATATTTAGGTTTAGAAACTCTCATATTGTTATCACTTTATTCTGCTCATATATTTATTTAACAAGTATTCTTAAACCTTTATTTTCACACACACACACACTTTAACATAGGATTGTGGGTTGCACATTGGATTATTATATTATTTATATTCTTTTATTAAATGTAATAACTAAGGGAAAGGGATAGTATATAATTTGCAAAAAAATTAAAAAAATTGATGATAATAAAAATGTAATTATTTTGGCTTCATAGCTTCCCTAACCTAAGCAATTAAGTCCAAAGAGATATTTTAACACCTAATACCTTAAAGTCAACTGACTTGAGAGCTATTGGCTCAATGCTTGTTACATGGGTTAAGGACAAAAGGTCAAGAGAATTAAATATTTTACTATCTAAGTATCGATATCTGCAACCCAAGTTATTAAACTCGTAAGGGTGTCTCAACACCTAATACCCTAAGACCAATTGGTCTAAAAGTCATTAGTTGAAAGCTTATTGCATAGGTTAAAGATGCATTGTATTTTAAGTTATATGTATATATATTAAAAAAAGAAAAAAAAAGAAGATAATAATCCTAACCCAAAGAAGTTGACCTTAAACATTAGATTCTTTTTGTTGTTTTCGTCCAAATAAAACCCCATAACTATGTATTGATTTAAGCATACAAAAAAAAAGTTTATTAATATCTTATTTAATAAGTATAAAGTGTGTGTGTATATATATAAAGACCCAATTGATTGAATTCATGGGTAAAATTGAAAAGAATTGAAAGTTTAATGGTCAATTGAGGATCAATTTGCATAAATTCAAAATCAAGGACCAAAGTGAGAAGGCACTGAAATCCATGGTTGACATTGAAGTTCGACAGGAGCAAAATTATGTAAAATTGAAAGTTTATGATCAATTAGGGGTGTAATTAAAAAAAATTAAAAGTCAAATGACCAAACTAAACTTTGTTCAAACCCCTAAATTAAAACCCTAAAATGTCTAAAACGATGTTGTTTAGAAGAATGGAAAAAATTAAAAGTCCATATAATATGTTATCTGGTTACTGTTCATTTTTTCTTCTTCTTTTAGCCTAAAAAGACTACTCAAATGACTACTTTTCAAATGCATTTGATCCTGTCTCTTTATCAAATTTGACAAAACATGTACCATCATAAGGGCTTGACATTTTACTATATCTTAATATGGCTCTCTCCGGCTGAATGACACCACAAATTTGATAGTGTCACCCTAAAAAAAATCAACTCATACAACTTTGAGTTATCAAAATCTGATAGTTCTTTATGTCAACTTTGAACCAATGGTTGAGA